AGTGTAGTGTGTTATTATTTCTGTATGGATTACCCTACAAGTGGAATACCAGTTCCAGTCTTGCCTACTAGAGCAAGGTAAGAAAACATTTTTTTCCTATATTATGCAATCTTCTACTCCTCCCAAAATCTTGTTCCTTCCAATAATACCCCTGTACATAGTCTACTTGGAAAGACCATTCATTTCTCTTCAAGAAAATATATACTTTGTTATACTTTTCACTTCATTCAAGAGCACCAAAGACCAATAAGGGAAGTCACCTATGGTTTCATGCGATTCCTGGAAATTTTTCCCGCATATGGGGAGTCAAAGTGGGCAGCAGTGAAGGGGTTAAATAGTCCTATTTCCTACAATGTCAAAAAGGGTTTTGATATCTTTACATTTAAAATATTTCTTACGCACATCATTAAATTCGACACATTCTGTTAGGATGTGCCGAACTGTGAAATTTGTGTTGCACGCCACGCAAAAAAGGAGCTTCCTCTCCTTCGAGTAAATGTTTGTGCGTGATGTGCGTGTGTCCTATTTTTAATCTGGTGTCAACTACTTTTTCTCTTCGTAGGAGAGACAGTGGTTTCCAGGGCGCAAGTTTCGGTTGAATGTAATGGAGTTTGCTGTGTATTTGTTGATTCCAAATTTGGGACCAGGAAGATGTGAAGTGTTCTTTTACTTTCGGTTCCATGTCAGAGAAAGGGATTTTACTATTTTTGTTTTCAGGCAGTTTTAGAGATTCTTTGGCAAATTGGTCAACGGCTTTGTTGCCATCAATGCCTACATGGCTTGGAAGCCAAGCTATTGTAATAGTTTTTCCAGACTGATGTAGAAAACGCAGTTTAATTTTAAAATTCTGTTGTCGGAGGTGTCAGAGCGCTCTAAAGATTTCAGTGTAGACCTAGGCTTCTGGGTGGAGTTTCCTTAAGCTTAAGCTGTGTGGCGATGAAAGGGCAGCAGCTCCTACTGAGGAGTCATTTTTGGATCCGTCTGTACAGAGTTTCTCTGCTTCAGGGTATCTATTTATTAGCTGTTTGTATGAGTTAACACATGTAGTTTTGTCTGTAGACTTTTTGCTGTGTTTTTCAAGACTAGTATCTATGTTTGGTTTGGTTAAATGTCATGGAGGTATGCTGGACATGGCAAAGGGCTCGATTATGTCTTTAGAAAAATCAATGTCTTGAAGATCGTTCTGGATTCTTATTCCGAAAGGGCTTACTTTATTTCCTGAGAAGGACAGAGTTTTTAGATCTTCGGAAAGGCCAAAGACACATTTGTGGGCTGGGTTTTGGGGTACTGAGTTAAGTTTCAAAGCGTACTGCAAAGACAGTTTTTTCCTTCTAAGTTCTAAAGATGGTTCAAGAGCTTCTGCCTGTAAACTTTCTACAGGTGAAGTACAGAAAGCGCCTAGGGCAAGGCGAAGGTCTTGGTTCTGAACAGGGTCTAAAATTTTAAGGTAAGACTTTCTAGTTGATCCGTAAACAGGACTGGCATAGTCCAGCCTGGAACGGACAAGGGAACGGTAAAGTTGAAGAAGTATTTCAGCATATCTCTTCCCCATTCGGGATTGAATAATACTTTTAAGGCGTTGAGAGCACTCTGACACGTCGTCTTTAGGTCTTTCAAGTGCGGCAGGAAAGAAAGCTTATTGTCGAAGATTACGACCAGGAAACGAGCTTGTTTTTTAACAGGAATTTTCTCCCTAAACAAATAGAAATCTGGTTGTCGCACACACTTGTGCAACAGACAAAAATGTACAGATGATGGGTTGATGGGGAAGTGGTCCGATCCGTGTGGGTCGTCCAGGACCGACCACTGAAAGTCTGGAATTAGATATGGATCACATAGGGTTACATCTATGGATGAAAATTTAAGTTATTTGAATTTTGAAATGTTGGGGAATTGTCGTTAAAAATACTAGTATTAGTTTCCGTTAAGAAATCTATGATTTTACCTTTAGTGTCAGTTGGTTCATTTCCCCAAAGAGGGCTATGGGCATAATCTCCCAACATGAAGAAGGGTTGTGGGAGCTGTTGTCTGAAGTTTATTAGTTCTCTTAAAGATAGAGGATAATTTGGAGGGATGTATATTGAACAGATAGTTATAGGATAGTGTAGGGTGACCCTGACCGCAACTGCCTGAAGTGTAGTGTTTAATTGTATTTGTCTGTGTAGTGTTTGGTTATTTATTAAAATGAAGTTGCCCCCAGAGGCGATTTGGTGGTCGGTGTACATTTGGTTGTAAGTTCAATAGTTTTTTTATGTGAATGTGGGTGTTGGCAATTTAGTTTCTTGTAGACAGATAACATTTGGGGTGTGTTGAGGTCAAAAGATAGGAGAGTTCTGCCTGGTTTGCATGCAAACCGCGAATGTTCCACTGAAGAACTGCCATTTTTTTTTTTTTTTGAGGGCATGGGTTCGGTACATTTTTTTTGGGTCGTTGGCGACCGCTGTCTTTGTTTTGTTTGGCTGCGGTCAAGGTGGACCGCAGCTTTTTTTGCAGGAGAGTGTGGAGGGGGAGGAGGACCGGAGTCCCAGATGCGGGTAGAGGAGGGGGAGTGGGTGGAGGGGCTTTATTGGATGAAAAGCGATGGGATGGAGGTGATGATGGTGGTGAAGAAGAAGATGTAGTTGGCGGTGGGGATGAAGATGAGCGTGGTGAGGATGAGGATGTGGGTGAGGATGAAGGTAAAGATGGTGTTGGGGGTGAAGATGATAAGAGAGATTTTGGAGAGGATGAGTGGAGAGAGAGCTCTATGTCCTCCTTCTGTTGGTCTTGGCGTTTTTGGGTTTTTTAAATTTTTGTTGGACACATGTGGTGTTTCTACGTTTAGGAATTTTACATTTTTTTCAGTGTCAGCTGTTTTGGGGCCTGCCCAGTGGGTCGGGGGGGATATAAATAGACCCACTGCTTCGTCTGCAGGAGGTGCAACCCCTTCAAAGACTTGGTTTCGCACATGGACCCCAACCCTCTGGGACCCGGATGCGACACCTACTTTGGTGTATCTTCCTCTTCTCCTTCCTTCTTTCTTTCTCCTTCTATCTTTTTTTCCCACCGCTGACCTCATGTGCAGAAAAAAGAGGGGTAACCCATCCCACAGAGTGGGCGCCTCGTTGACCGTGAGGTGCGACCCGTGCGGATGGAAACCGGGTACCTAGCGGTTGAGGTGAGATCAGTCTACAGACTGTCCCCCGCCAACACACCTCTTTAGCCCAGGTCTACCTCTTACGCGGGAGGGTGGCACAGCCCATGCCACTCAATCAGTTCAGAGCTGAAACCCTTCAAGCCTTGGGTCAATCTTGACGGGAGGGTCTTGTACTTTCTTGGGGAGAGAATAGCTCCAGGGTAGCCATGGCACAGCTCTGGTCATCCGAGCAATGTGTCCCCTTGTTGGGCCCCGTGGCGGCGGGGAGCCCCCGAGTCGAATCAACCATAAAATTCATATGGAATCAAAAACAAAGAAAGTCCCTTCCCCAGCTCCCAACATTATAAAGAAGTCTCGGCTCGCGTAGAAGATCACTGATCTGAATCTGTTCAAGACGAGAGATGCACAACGACAGGTTCTGGGATACATTCCAACGAATGTCCAGAAGCTGTCCTCTGGTGTACTCCTCGCCAAGTACGCAACTGAAGACGAAGTGACCAAACTCCTGGATTCTACGACCGTCGGCGATATTCCATGTAGGTCCGAGCGCTACCAGAAATTAAACTGCTCAAAGGGCGTCGTCCGCAGTCATGAGCTGAAAGGCTGCTCCATACAAGAATTGTCATAATGATGAACGGTGCGTGGATTTGTTGATCGAAAAAGTGGACAGTTTTCTTGGATTTTCTAGCTGCAACAGGTCTTCACTGAAGCGCAAGATTTCTGACACAGAAAATAAATTTAAAGATATTAAGCGAAGGAGGAAAGATCCACAAAAGCTTTTAGAATCTGCATTTAGGGCCCCTCAGAAAGTTGTAGAATATTCTGGACACTTTATAACAGAGCAGATAAAAAGGACTGAGGCCCATGCAAATAAATTTGAAGAACAGTGTGTTAATTTGAAAGATGAGAAAAATAATTTAGAAGACAGTATTAGAGAGGAGATAAAAGAAAAGTGTACGCTGCAGGAGAGTGCAAAAGTAATAAAATCGGTGTTGTCTGATAAAACAAGTTTTGTTTAACCCCTTGAGACCGAGTCCCCGATAAACCGGTGACGCGCATATTTTCCTTCTTGCCGAGTCCCCGATAAAGCGGGATGAGAGAGGGTAGTATGAATTATGGGATGGAAAAAGGCAGTAATTTTCGACCAATCACAAGCCTTGGGTTAATTTTAGTGCAGAGTAATTCATTCAAAATGTCTGCCCCCTGTAGCCGGCATTGAACGTGTTTTTGTTGTTGTTTTGAGAGGATAAATTCAACATGAAAAGGAGCGACGATAGCGAGCCTCAACCCGGGCCTTCCGGAGTCAAACGCAAACGCACACAGCTGTTCAATATTACACAGGTGATCAATTCTTTGTTGGATACTGATGAGTTAGATGATGCAAATGACATAGATTATCCTGAGAGTGACCTAGAAGATGTTTCGGATGATGATATTGATGAACCAAGCTCTAGTGCCAGTGCTTCATCTAGATCTACACCTAGATCTGCACCCTCTGTAACTCCTCAAAACACGGAAACAAATGGGCGTGGCATTCGTGATGGTGGGGATGCTAGATCTATTCCTAACACTTCTATTCCTGATGGGTGGAGTGCACAATGGACACCAGTAGACACTACATTCGATGATAGGGGTTGTGGTCCTAAAAATCTCCCACCAAATGTGAAGAAGGATTCCACACCAAAAGACTATGTGGACATATTTTTAGACGATGCTTTTTGGGCTAACCTCACTGTCATGACACACCGCAGAGCAGAGCAAACCAATGAAGAGTTTCCAGATAACTATTATGCTAAGTCGTATTACAAAGGTGAACCCACTAAAGAAGCAGAAATGAAAACTTTTCTCGCAGTTAAGACTTCAGATGGAAATCACTGTGGTGAAAAACTCATACCGAGAATACTGGGAGTCGGACGGTGTGAATTTTTTATCGGAAACCCCTGGTTTCAGGAAAGTGTTGACAAGGGATCGGTTTCTCACACTGTGGACTTTTTTGCACATAGTAGATGAAAGGGACCCAGAGCTAAATAAAAATGACAAAATTTATAAAGTCAGACCTTTCCTCAGTACACTTTTGGAGAAATTCAAGCACCACTACAAACCCAAACAGTTCTTGAGCTTAGATGAGGGAATGATACCGACAAAAAACCGCTTGGCTATCAAGCAGTACATCAAAGACAAACCTATAAAATTTGGAATAAAATCCTTTATTCTGTGTGAGGGGGACACTGGCTACATTCTGAGCAGCGAAATTTACACTGGCAGGGAGGAGCAGGCTGTGGACGGACTAGGTGTTGTTGGAAACATTGTATACAGATTGCTACTTGCCGGAGAGTGTGAGAACAAAAAGCATATTCTAACAATGGATAGATACTATAATTCTGTTGATCTGTTCAAATATTTGTTGAGAGAACAGAACACCTTTGCTGTAGGGACTGCAATGACGAACAGGAAACACTACCCAAAGACCCTCATTCGCAAAAAAATGAATAAGAGGGGTGATTATGAGTTTGTTTGTCAGGGCAGCTTAGTGGCAATGGTGTGGATGGACAGACGTCCAATCAACTTTCTTTCCACCTGCCACGACCCAACACTGTTTCAACATGCACGGAGAAGAAATAAGGATGGGACGCAGGAAAATGTTGTAATGCCTCAGTTGGTGAAAGACTATAACTCGTTCATGGGAGGGACGGATAAGAATGATCAGATGGCCCGTCTGAACAAAACCCGTCGACATTATCGTTGGCCCAGGAGACTTTTTATGAAATTTGTCATGTGGGCAGTCTACAATGCCTATGTTTTATTTCAAAATGTGGATCCAGAGAAGGCAAAGAAGTACACACTACGGAATTTTTTGAACGAATACTGCCTTGCTTTGGTTGGTGAGTACCGCACTGCCGCAGTACAAAGACCACGCGAAATCGAAGGACAGGAGCTGCCGCTTCGACTCCAGAATGTTGGCCTGCACTTTCCTGAGATTGGAGTGGATGATACAGGAAACCATCTGTGTGCAGTCTGTTCCTACAAACACCAAAAGTTTAGGAAAGAAAACCCAGCTGTTCCATATAAGGACTGCCCTGTGAAAGCTGTCAAATCAAATGTGAAATGTGGATATTGTAACCGACATCTCTGCATAAAAAAAGGATCAACCTGCTGGAAAGACTGGCATACCAAGTCAGAATATTGGCGTTAAAATACAGGTTAGTTTTTCCTTTATCATATATGTGTCTGTTTTTTCCCTTTTTTGACTGATTTTGTTATGACAGCCTTCCTATGGTGCCATACCTAATTTTTTCTGAATCGGGCTCAGGAGCCCAGGCAGAGGGAAAAAGTTCACCCAGGGGGCTAGGGCTCAAAGGGTTAAATCACTTTTTTTTAAACTTATTTTTATTCAGTTTTTACACATTTCAACATTCAGAATTCCTTTCCTTGGTTTCATAAAACAGATATAAGGTTTAGTAGACTAATATAATCATGCTTAAAAGTCTGTTTTCCCCCCTTTCACTGTAAAATAATACAGTATTCAATTTACTTTTTTTTCATAATTGAAATCAGAGCTGGGTTGATTTAAATCAGTTGATTTTTTTTAGTTGAATCAACTTGATTTTTTAAATAAAAATCAGTGATTTAAATCACTTTTCAAAAAAATGTATTCCGTTTTTACATATTTAAACAGTCAGAATTCCTTTCCTTGGTTTTATTAAACAGATATATAAGGTTTAGTACATTAATATATAAATCAGGTCGATTTAAATCAGTTTATTTTTTAAAATTTAAATCAACTTGATTTTAAAAATAAAACTCAGTGATTTAAATCACTTTTTAAAAAATGAACTGTTTTTACATCTTTAAACATTCAGAATTCCTTTCCTTGGTTTTATAAAACAGATATAAGGTTTAGTAGACTAAAATAATCATGCTTAAAAGTCTGCTTTCCCCCCTGTCACTGTAAGTAGTAATAATACTGTATTCGATGTACTTTTTTTTCATAATTGAAATTAGCATTTTCTTTTTCTTTTTAGACAAACACACAAGCGTGCGCGCGCGCACACACACACTGTACATAATAAAATGCAAGTTTATCTATGCATAATTACCCCACCCCCCACCCCTTCCTTTTAGACTGACATTTTCTTCATTTTTTGTCTGTAGCCATAATTCACTGATATAGCAGATTAAGGCTTTCTAAAATTGCAGTTGCTTAAATTAATTATTAGTTAAAATAAAGACAATGCATTTTGCACTAAAAGAACTTACTTTTAGCCACCAAAAATCCCAAACTGTGTCGACATTTTTTTAAAATCCGATTTAAATTTTAAAAATCTGATTTAAATAAAAAAAATCGATTTTTTAAATTTTTATTTAAAAAATGAAAAAAATCACCAACCATGTCTCTCTCTCTCTCTTGCGCACGCGTGCGCGTGGGCCGCTCCATTCGCATATATATACAATATGTGCTCTCTCTCTCTCTCTCACACACGGACACACATGGGCGCGCGTGGGCCGCTCCATTCGCAAATAACCAACAAATCTCAAGAACGGAAACCATTCGGAGAAATATAGTTCAAGTTTTAGGTATTTTTTTACCCCCCCCCCCCCCCCTCCCGTCTCATACTTAGCTACCAGTTGTCCATCTACTACTAAATATTGATGCGCTGATGCGCTGAAGACGAATATCAACTTCATTTCCGTCGCAAATTAATAGTTTTTGAAATATTTGATTGTTTTTAATTGAGATAGACATGCTTTGGACCATTCGGGGGTTCCAGGGGAGCCTGCCCCACTGGGATAAAAGAAAATCTGGAGGGGGTTACACGCCCCCTCTTTTTACCCATAATTTGATATTTCAAAGAGTTAGATTTGACATTTTCTTGAAAATAATTGATTTGCGGCAGATTTAGAGGCTTTGTGTGTGATCTGCAGCAAACAGTACTGCAGTTTGACCCCCTGAAAGCTCTAGTGCCAGTGCTTCATCTAGATCTACACCTAGATCTGCACCCTCTGTAACTCCTCAAAACACGGAAACAAATGGGCGTGGCATTCGTGATGGTGGGGATGCTAGATCTATTCCTAACACT